GCCGTAGTGGGTGCAGTGGGGTCCCGAGAACGGGAACAGCAGGGCCCCGGGAATGGGAGCAACGGGTCCCGGGAACGGGAGCAACCGGTCCCGAGAGCGGGGCGGGTTTTGGCCGGGGGGGGGGGGTAGTACCGGCGTGTCCGACCTGTACACGGCGAATTTCCGCTGCCGTGTGGAGAATAATTAGGTGATAATTACCGCTAAATTATGCATATTCCAGCAACGCACGGAGCGGTGCACGGCCATTTCCTGCCGTGTACGGGGATGTACAGGGATCGTGTCCGGGCATATAACGTCCAGTACACGACCTGCACACAAAAAGTGGTTCATTTCCGGGAGTGTACAGGACATGTACGGGACTGGACACGTTTCGTGTGCAGGTCGGAAACCCCCGGGTTCTACCGGAAACCTAAAATATCCGGGAAAGTGTGCGGCAATTTCTCACACGGAAACGAGGGATTTTGAGCGGTGTGTATTTTTCAAATTGCATGTAAAATGTTTGCCAACACGCAGTTTTGTATGTACCATAGGTTTAGATCTGGACTTTTAAGGGTGTATTAGTAGAATTGCCGAGTATTTCCAAATTGCAAAACAAAATTTTGATATTCTGCAATATTGCAGAACACTGAAAAAAAGTATTTCTACCACTGCTTGATGAAGGCAGCAAAACGTTTGCAGGTAGTTCTACTGAGGTTGTGTCAAGAGAATCCTATTGTGCTGGTAAGGCCACACCGATTTAATTTTATGGATGACATCCACGCGCGCATTGATTTTCGCCCGATCTCAAAAAAAAAAAATCACGTATTCCGAGGCTCTGGTCTGGCTTTAGGCCTGGGTAGTGCATGGTGGTGATAACTCTGGTTGACGGCAGCCAGGCTACCGAAGCTCCAAGACTCATCAAGAACTCAGTACATACGTACAGCAGTGTCGATTCATATATTCCGCAAAAATCCAGCATGTGTCGGCCTGTCGTATACGTCGCTATGTAATGCGCCAAATTCACAATACCAGGTTTGTATTCCTGTGGTTTTGTAGCATTTTTATTTTTGGCCGGATTTTTATTTTTTTCGCCCGCGCGCACTAGTTTGGGGGTCTTCAGAGGATGTCATCCATAAAATTAAATCGGTGTGGCCTAACTGTTGCCATCCTACATGCAGTTCTCTGTTCTCTGTTGCAGAGTTGCGTTCTTCCCTCTGCACATCGGGGACCATGTGTTTATTGAGGAGGACTGTGTGGTCAACGCAGCACAGATCGGCTCCTACGTACACATAGGAAGGAACAGCGTCATTGTAAGTCATCCCCAGCAGATCTATCTGATTATGCATTGAGAAACTAAAACTTTTATTCTGTGGATATTGCATATATGACGCTTACACACTGTCACTGCCAGATGTTTTCTGATCCT